CAGAAACATCTTGAAGGGGGTATAAGAACCTTGTGATGAGAATAGTGTTGCTACCTGGATGAGGGAAGAATTTGGAGGGGCTGGGGAGAGATACAAGCTTGGAGGGAAAAATGCATTCTGCCCTTTATCTCCTCTGTGAAATCACTGATAAAGCATCTTGCTATGTGCAAAGATGGGGCACATAAATATTTTCCAACCTTGTATAGCATTAAACCTGTAAATATGGAGCATCCATATCGAATGGAATCACTTTATTCAGAAATGAAGAAATATGATTCTAAGTAAATTTGAACACTACTTAAAGAGGGATGCATAAGAAACACTCTACAGTTTTTCTGTTCCTTTTGACCCCTTCAGAAATAGTTAAATAGCTCATCAATAGATTTACTCCCATCTTTCCATTTCCTTCCTCTTCCCCTTCTTTCGTCTTTCCTTCATCTTTTCTGCTCCATCTCTTTCCTTTCAGCTGTAAATCTTTTATTTTCGGTTGTAAACTCAGCAAAGCCCCCCTACCGCCGACACAACTGGTTATTAACAATTAATCAGATTTTTTTTCATTGCTTTGGAAAGCTACATTTTTTGTTTCACAACCATAGGGTTTCATTAATAATATTTTTCTATTTCTCTGAATCACTTCCAAATAAAATACCACTAACAAAGGAGCTTACTTCTAAACAATCGATGATGTATACTGTAGACAATATGGTCATAGAAGAGTTTCTATGATTATTTTTGTTATTAATCACTATAATTACTCTTTGATTACAATGGTGGTTAACTCACAGTGAATAAAGCACATGCTTGCCTTGTTTATCTAGTATTTGCGAACGATTTGTGTTCATCCATCCACACATTCTCACCTCACCTTATGTAGCTGTGAGACTCTAGTTTGTGTAGACTATGGCCACAAAAATGACTTGCACATGGGAGACTAAAGCCTGTGGTTTCCTTACATTATCACTAGGCTGTAACCTCTTAAACTCCGTAGGTCAGTGATGACTAATTGAGTATTCCAAAACTTGAATGTGTATGCATGCATACTTAAAAGAAGCATGCATACTTAAAAGAAACATCTGTGCTGTTTTTTCATGACTTGCCTGAAGAGTCAGTTCAAGCCATTCTTCAGATTTCAAGCTATAGTATCTAGTGCCTGAAACTTAAGTAGAACTTGAGAATGATTTTTGGCTTATCACTAGTATTGGGTGAACCTTATCATTTGCCAATCCACATGCAAATAAGTAAAATAAATAAACTACTTAAGCACAGTTATATCAGACAGTAAGTAACAGTGGACATGTAACATCTATAGCTGTATCCACATGTTCGCTTTGATCTTTCAGGACCTGAGAGCCCTAAGTTCCAGTTTCTTGCTACTGTAGAGCAGAACTGACCTCTTTTTTTTTTTTTAGCATCTTTATTGGAGTATAATTGCTTTACAACGGTGTGTTTCTGCTTTATAACAAAGTGAATCAGCTATACATATATCCGCAAATCTCTTCCCTCTTGCGTCTCCCTCCTTCCCACCCTCCCTAACCCACCCCTCTAGGTGGTCACAAAGCAACGAGCCGATCTCCCTGTGCTATGCGGCTGCTTCCCACTAGCTATCTATTTTACGTTTGGTAGTGTATATATGTCCATGCCACTGTCTCACTTTGTCCCAGCTTCCCTTCCCCCTCCCCGTGTCCTCAAGTCCATTCTCTAGTAGGTCTGCATCTTTATTCCCATCTTGCCCCTAGGTTCTTCATGACCATTTTTTTTTTTTTTAGATTCCATATATATGTGTTAGCATACGGTATTTGCTTTTCTCTTTCTGACTTAACTTCAACTCTGTATGACAGTCTCTAGGTCCATCCACCTCACCACAAATAACTCAGTTTTGTTCCCTACAAATATGGAACCTTTCACGAATTTGCGTGTCATCCTTGCGCAGGGGCCATGCTAACCTTCTCTGTATCGTTCCAGTTTTAGTATATGTGCTGCCGAAGCGAGCACCAGAACTGCCCTCTTAAAGAAGAGAAGGCTCTAGTGAGGACTGAACAATCGAGCACAGAGAACAGTTTATCAGAGTGCCCATATTTCTGGCCCCCACGGCAGGCCCGCTGAGCCTCAACCTCTGGAAGCTGCATTTTAACTAGCTCCTCCGCTGTCTCTTAATGTACATTTTGTTTGCAAACCACTGCCTTAATGTAGGGGTAAGCGTAAAATCTGTGAAGTCCTAATTCCATAACCTTCCCTTTTCTCCATTATTCGTTCCTGTTCTCCCAACTCATCTTAACAAGTTTTATGGAGCTTTTAAGTTAGTGAATGTCTTTCAAAATAGTAAGAATGAGAGTTCAAAATGGTACAAATTTTTCTATTGCCTGTCTTGGTTCATATTATAAACAAGCAAAAAAAGACGTGTCACATATACTCTGCCCATGGTAATTAGAAAACTGATTAAGCAGTGTGAAGACCTGATTCTCTTAAGTTTCTGTACACTTCTTCATCTTCACTTATCTAAGGGGTAGTGCTTATCTTTTCTTGGGTGGAATATGCTCCTTGGATTCCAGAATCTCGGCAAAACCTGTAAAATGAGCTTTGGATTCAGGAACAGAGGTTCCTGGCCTACAAATGCGTGCATGCTTCAGTGACTGCCAGCTGCTGTGAGCCTAGATTCCCTAAACCCAGGACTAGCGTTGTTCTTGATCACTTAAGAAATGTGACTTTTCACGAAAGAGGCGTTCAATCAATACAAATGTTCCTTATGTCCTTGTAATTACCTCTGTCTGCCGAGTAATTACTAGGCATGAGGGGTCTTTACAGCACAGGCATCCCAGGCAACACAGGGATCCACATTCCCAGCCTTTTAACCTCTCTCCATACCCAGCTGCTTCCATTAACCTCTCTTGGGTCCAGATATTTATAACACTTCAGATTAGGGGTTCTCTGCCACGCCTGTTTCTTGTACCAATGTTTTTCTGACGCGAACAAACATATTCACGTGCTGGCTTGCAGCAGTGAGTGTAGTGAATGTTTTTTTTGGTTAAAAAAAAGTCTCCCTACTGTATAGCACAGGGAACTATGTTCAATATCTTGTAATAACTTATAATGGAAAAGAATCTGAAAAAGAATATATATGTATGTATAACTGAATCACTTTGCTGTACACCTGTAACAACATTGTAAGTCAACTATACTTCAATAAAAAAAAATTTTAAAGTCTCCCATTTCATAAAACTGAAAACATTAAATGACCATTAAGTCCTTTGTGTCAACTCAGCCTTACAGAACACACTGAAAAGTTCAAAGCTATGAGTGATAATATCATTTTGAGGCTAAGACCTTTCATGTTCCATTTACCCAAGTGGGAAAAATATGGCCAGCCGGACAGTAGTGTATTACAAAGTGATTTTGTTTTGCCTGCTGATTTCATAGGTTAATACTGGTGTTTTAATTATTTGGAATGCTGACATGGTGGGCTACTTACAGCAATAGGGAGAGGGCAGGGCATGCCGTTGCAGGCAGAATCCCACCAGTATGTCCTAGAATCCTTTTGGGACTTCACACCCAGCAGAGGAAACCCCTTCTATTGGATAACTAAAACTTCCTTTCCTATGATTTACACACAGCCCAGCAAAGAGTCTCATCTATTCAGTAGCCTCACAGAGGTTACATGAGTTGTTTCCAGTTACAAAATGACTTAAGTAGTGAAACAGAGACTGCAGTTTAGCTGCCTACTTCTGCTCTGGTGCTCTTTGGACAGCAGCCTTCAGCTCTAAGGAGATAACATTTATGATCCTTCAAAGGCAGATGAGGAACAAGTCATTCACTTTCACTAACACCCCTTTGAGATGCACGGAGATGACTGAATTTATTTGAAAGTCTTGTGATTTTGCATATTTTGTTATGACACCCCTGTCTTTTCCAGTTGTCAGAAATGGATATTATTGTACTGATTATTTTGCTTGCAATTGATTTGCATACTGTTATTGCATATTGTTAAATGGTTTGCTGATTAATGACTAATGTTGATTTGGACTAAATGTAATAGAATAAGCAAATTCATTTGTAAATTTAGATATATAATTTAGTTGCTAAATGGTATCATAGAGCTGTTGGAGATTATTTTAGATGAATTCCTTGCAGGGAAACCCTGCCCACATTTTCTTCCCGTATCCTATATCAATGTTTTAAGCTCCCCACTCCTTTTTAAAAAAATTCATTTCCAAGTCTGGATTTTAAGAAAACACTTCTCAAAGGCAAATATTTCTCCAAAGCCCAGGGTTAATATAAATTACTTTAAATTCAGAACGTGGTAGATATCTCCTAAACAATTTCTTTTCTGAAGGGTCAGAAAAAATTTGAATATATTTTCATGACCTTGAATCAGTGTGTTGTGCAGCAGTATCAAAAAAAATAGCAATATAAATTTTTATTAATAAAATTAATAATTATATGAATAAGTATCAGATATATTAATACAGGATTATTGAGTTATAGAATTTCTTAGCTGTTAGGAAACACTTGCTGATGAAGCCTCTGGGGTCCAGAGAGGTTTAGTAATTAATACACATACATACACAAGCTAGTTAGTTGTTGAGTCAGTTATGTGAAGGTTTAATATATTCTGCACTTCAGTATTATACATATGCTTATACTTTGGTATATTTGGTATTTTTAATTATCCCCTAATATATAAAAAAATTTCAACCTGACTTTTCATTTCTGCATTCATCTTCTAAACATATATGCTGCCATTGCTTATATTTTATTTCTGCTACTTCATATGCACCATAAATATTTTCAGTTTGGAAATCAGTTTAAATGGTAAAGAGAAACTAAAGAAGAATTTATACCATAGATAGTTTAACGTATTTTTGCTCTTTGTTAAAACTACATTTTAATATGCTCTGATAAAATTGTATCTCTCTACTAAGGTATTAAATTTGGTAACTGAAAATGGTTCTCCAAAGAAATGTAACTCACATTAATTTTCCATGTGCTCTTTTTTACTTATAGTTTTACAGTCCACATGTTTTAAGTCTAACAGAAAAAAAAATCATGAAGTTGTGAGACAGTTCCAAGTCTGCATCTACATCCTCAGGTTGGTGACCTTGGGTAAATATCATTTTTGTGCTTCTGTTTCATTTTCTTTAAAACGAGTAGTTGAAAGCTTCAAAAACTCTTTCAAAGATTCCATGAGCTTAAAAGGAGATTTGATTGAAAGAAATGTGTGGCCATTATTACCTGGCTGCTCAGTATTTTCATGGACACATACTTGTTACTTACATATGAAGTTTCCTTAGGGAAATTAACTCTTTGTAGGTGTGATATATGGACATTGAGAGAAATGGGTTAAATAAGAAAAAGAAGGGGAAACAAGTTAGTGACAAAGGAAGAATGGTAGGCAGTTAAAGTGATTCCTCTTTTACCTCTTTATATCTACAGTCTAGTTATTCCTATTTGAAAACCTACTGGCACCAGGTATTATCAACAGGGATGAGTAATATGTAATTTTTATCTTTACTGGGTTACATTTGGCCCACAGACAGTTGACAGCTGTCAGTCAGGTGGCTGGTCAATGAGGAGATACATATAAAGCTGCCAAAATATTTTTGTTTCTTTAAATACTTACAAGTAAACCATTTTAGCTGGAAACTTCTTTGTCCTGAAATTAAATAGATTGATATTCAGAATAAAATTTATTGAAGTTAGTTGCGGGGAGAACCAAGATTTTCCCTATGAATATACAAGGTAAACAAAATGGTTTTCAAATGTCTTTCTGAAAGGGGAGAATAATTAATTTTTCTCCACTATAAGCTGTCCTTAAGATATGAAGATGTATTGCAAATAATGCTTAAAGTGCATGTGTTTTACAATTAAACTTTTAGTCATTGCAACTTTAAGCCAAGTTTCTAACTAAGCTTATTAAAAGAAACCATTCCCATACATTGCGGGCGTTGGCATAGGTATTTTACTGCAATGAAAGTTGAAAGTTTATCAGAAAGGACAAACATGTAGTTGCATGTCAAACTAGGAGTTAAAGCTTTTTCTCATAAGTAAAAGAAAATATCATAGAATTTTAGATTAAGCCAACAATTTAGGGCAGGGTTAAAATTATAAATTTTAGTTATTTAGAAATAATTGGGCTATACCTAACATTGTTTCTAATAGGTTCAGTCACACTTAAATAATTCACAAGAGTCATAAAAAATAATTTGGAAGAAGCTTTTGTATTATTTATACTTACTGTTAATGACAAACAGTATTTATAATTATAGCCAATTGTATTGCACACAAAAACTTAACAAATGTAATTTCGAAGTTGACTTAAAAGTGTATGTTCAGTTTTGCAGTACTTAGTCATCTTTAAAATCGAGTACTTTGATTCTTTCAGAATATAGTATTTAACAGACCAGGTAAATAAAAAAAATTATGAAGTGCATGGAATACATATTCATTCTTTAAGAGACTAATGAAGTTATCTAAAAATTTCAGTGGCCATGGTTACTCAGGTGCCAGAATCAATATGACGAAGATGACAAAATATCACATAAAAATAGCAGTTGGAAACCACAATAAGTACACTCCTTTTTAAAAAATAAAATATGCTTTAATCTTCTGAACCATATTCTACATGTCATAATTTTAATAAAAATCAGATTTGAGTTTTGAGGTTTCAAAATATGGTTTCATTAAAATGTAGATAAGATTGTGTTTTAAAAATATGAGATTTTTTTGGTGGGGTGGATAATTTCTGGTAACTTTTTAAACCACAGATATTTCATAATTTTAAACAGCAATTAGGTTAGTCTGAAAGAGTATGATACATATAAAGTTGTGACATATCTGTGTCATCATTGATCCGAAAATTGTTTTAGATAACAGTGGTCATTAAAAAAAAATCAGATCTTATTATTTTCCCACTGTGCGACAATGTGTTAAGCATGTAGATTGAAAATTATTTATGGGATTGTCTGAATAAAACAATTGCCTCATAGTGTTAATTTATATTGGTAGGAACGTTTCTCTTCTTAAGCACCAGTTTTGCCCCCCACAGCCAAGAAAATTGATTTTATGCATAATAATTTATAGCATTCTTGATCAATGTATACCGCGCATCCTTTACATTCATTAGTCCATGTTACTTGTGAATATGGATTTTGGTTATTAAAATGGTTTCATATGTTTACTATGTATAGTCCCTAGCTTTAAGCTCCCTACTTGCTTAAATGTTTTCAATTTGCTATAATACAACAATTTGTAGAGAAATGCTGTGAAGCATAGTTAAAAGAATGAGTCCTTGAAATAGAATCACTTTTTAAAAATATGTCCTAACATGTGGTCTCATTTTTCCATATTTTGCATTAATTGAAATCCTATTCTGAAAAAAATATTTTTGCCTAAACTTTTGAATTCACAAAATAAAAATACCAATTATATAAATGTTCTAATTTTGGAAATCAATGACGTAAAAACATGCTTTAGTAGTGTTCATTGTTTATTCTGAAAATTTTTCTCTGAAGAAACTTTGTAACAAGAAGATGTTGCCACTTCTAATTATTAAATATGCTGTGCAATACATGTTTTAAAATTGTATTAAAAATAAAATTAATTTCATATTCTCTCTAATCATATTCCTGTCAGATGTATGCATAAAAAATTCTAGCCCATGAAACTTTTGAAAAGAGCATGTACCATTTCACATTTTTACTTGGAGAAATATTGAAAAATAACATTTTATTTAGAATGAGTAGATTATGACAGCATTAGATAAAAAGGAGACGAAATGATATTTGTATATTTATTTGAATAGTCTAGTATCATATATATAATTAATTCTTCATCTTTCAGATACTGAAGATAGTAATGAAAGAGACCAACATTTAAAATATGAAGCATTTTCTTTTAAAGAAACTTTTTTTTTTTTCACTCTAAAAAGTTGTCAAATGGTAACAGCCCTACTTTCTACACCAGGAAAACCCACTGTTGAGTTAGTTGGCTCTGATTCCAATGGTCTCATCAGCTTTCTGAATGTAGGTACCTCAGCAGTGCCTCTTCCAAGATAACAAAATCAACTTTTAGAGATTAAAAAGTATATTTTGGCAATTGAAACTCACCAGCGCCTTTCTGCTTCTCCAGGAAGTTGTACCCGTCAGCACCTGCTGAGGGCTTTGTTGTCCAAACTCTGACAGGTAAAAAAATTCCTGTAGAATAAAGCCAGACCAGCTGGCTTTGAAGAGAAACCCCCAGTTTGGGCTTCCTTTGCCTCCTCTCCTTTTCTATGAAGACCCAGGCTTTCCCCCCTTGATCGTCAAGCCGTAAGATGCGTGATCCCTGTGCACAAGTGTCTGGCAGGCCAAGGTGCACCTGTTCCTGTCACTCTGGAGTAAATTTAGCTGCAAAGGTATCACTGACAGCCAGACCTTTGTCAGTGCTGGCAGAAGAACACAGACTTGCTTTCCTCTCCTCCCCCCTTACTAGCCCCTTCGCTGCTAGTTCAAATGGAAAATATCAAATCGGAAGTCTATCCAAAAATCATTCCTGAAAAATGAGATTGCTTTCATATGGTAAAAAGTAAGTTTCTTATTTCACACAGACTTTAAAATTACATTTCCAAGAATGATCTTGGAAGAAGACGAGTTTTTGTTCAGTTAATTGTGGCTGGAAACTTTTTAATGGAAACATAACACACATTTACTTCATTTCAGGTTATTAAATTGTGTTAAGCATTAAAGTTAGTTGCCATTCTTTGCTGTAGCTCATTTGTTCTTTTTGATCCAAAGATATATCAGAAGGTTAAAACTCATCACATAGGGGGGATTAATCATGCTACCAAAATTAGAAAGCATGTAGTTCTGAGAGACTGAATGTCAAAATTGTATGCTCATAGCACTTAAACGATTGGGAATCTGGGATCCCACTACGACATTTAAAATGGCAGCTAATGTCTGTGGCAACCTGGGTGTTTAGGAGCGGGCTAAAGCTAGAGTTCTCTTACTCTGTGATGACGGTAAGGACATTTATCATTTATGTGAATTTTTTAGATTAATTTCCTTATGGATGCTTTGAGAGCAATTCCTCTTGAAGGAAAAGAGAGAAGGCAGGCAGTGTTCATTGGTACATCTGACATAAATATAGTAGTCAAGATATAGAAAGCAGCCCAAGGAGCAATGTGCTTAGCCATGGCAGTCAGAGCTTTTGCTTTATTAATTATGGTTTCTTAAGTGGTGTTTAAAAGAGTTGTGCAAAGTACCTGTTCTGCCATATTTTTATTGCCATTTACCAGGGTTGGGTGTGATGAGAAGAAGAAATCTGGGTCAAAATCAAAAGTGCTTTGTAAAATAAGCAAAGTTCTTATTTACTTACTACGTATAAACAGCCACTCACCAAGCCTCATTTCTCCACAGGGCACCACTTTCAGATAAAAACATAGACCTGAATGGCATCATCCAGTATCCAAGGAAACCATGTAAGTACCTCTCTCACTGTACTTCTCTTATTCAGGGTTTAAAAGCTAGCTGAGTACTGAATAAGTGAGTGTTTTTATTTAATAATTATATGGGAGGTACTTTTTAGGAGCTTGCTAAAAAGAAACAGGTTCTTGATTGTTACATGCATCATAACAAAACCCTTATGTTTTCCTCATATTTGAGAAAATTATGTGTTTAGTCCCAACTTCTCCATCAATTCTCATTCTTAGGTACAAAACAGCTACTCAGAGTCTTAATGAATTAAGAGTTTCAAACTTTTCCAAGACCCATTAGTGTCTGAGAAACAATGTTTCAGAGGCCTTGTGCCAGGAGTAGTTACCTAATTGTAATAAAACCTTTTAAATTTCAAAAGTTAAGAAAAATGACTTGTAAAATAATATTTTTGTTGGTAAACATTTATAGCAATTTATTTGGTTTTAGACTTGCTTGGGGAATGAGCAAGTGAGCAAAGAGATGAGGTTAAGTATTTAAATGACCCAAAGAATCTTGAAAGCAAGTGTAATTTCCAAAATGCAAAAATCTGTTAGCAGAACGGTTTGGGAGGTTGGCATATTATTTTCATTCATTCTTTCTTTTTTTTTTTGTCCCCAAGCTTCTGTAGCTAATTTCAAGGCTCTAATTAATTTTAAGGAACTATGAAATCTACTATGGAAATTTAGTTTCAAAACAATATGCTATTCTGGAGAAAGATCCATTTCTAAAATAATTGGATTGTTCTTTCAAGTATTTCTTTTTTTTTTTTTTTTTTTTTTTTTTTTTGCGGTTCCCGGGCCTTTTTCTGTTGTGGCCTCTCCCGTTGCGGAGCACAGGCTCTGGACGTGCAGGCTCAGCGGCCATGGCTCACGGGCCTAGCCGCTCCACGGCATGTGGGATCTTCCCGGACCGGGGCACGAATCCGTGTCCCCTGCATCGGCAGGCGGACTCTCAACCACTGCGCCACCAGGGAAGCCCTCGAGTATTTCTTTACCTGGACTTTATTATGTTTTTCATATTTGACCTTTCTACTTTTAAAATCAAATTATTTTCAATGCTAAATGATTATTAATTATAGATTACTTTTTAATGAAATACTTAAAAGTATACTCATGTAATTATAGATCTTTTTTACCATTTGCCTCAGCTATGTGGTTTAAATAGTCTTTTAAACACAGACATATTACTTTTCATCAAGGTTTTCAGGAGTTGCATTTAAATGCAGCTGGTTTAGCCCTGTGGTTTGGGAGTTTTTCATATTATTTGTATTTACTTTTGTTACTGTTGTATTTCTGACTTTGCTCTGCAGCCTGGTTCCTTGCTAAGCATGAATGACAGAGATGATCTCACTCATAGTTTCTCTGCTAAATTAGACATACCCTTCACCTGGTCGGAGGACCTGGCTAGGCTGTGAGAGTTTTTTTTTTTTAATGCTAGTTACAAACTTCAAAAGTGTGGAGGTGGAGGCCTGAGGTACTGCCCTCTAAACTAGGAATTCCTTTCCACAAAATAAAGGTAATTGGTGGCAATTGCTGGGTAAACTCGGAAGCAGTGCATGGTTAGAATAGATCATTATAAAGAAAGAAAATGCAAATTGAAAGGGAAAACTAGCTAATGTTATAATTCCTTATCTTGAGGAAATGGAATTTAAAAAAATTCCATTCTCCCTATAGCGAGAGGAAAAAGAAAATCTACACTGCAGTGCTTGTGGCACAGTTTTAAATATTTACATTAGAATATAGATTTTCCAGAAAAATCATTTAAGTCTGATAGGTTTAATTCAACCTCCTATACCAAAGAGAAAATGACAATAGAAACAAATTGATATATGCACATCAGTTCATCAGTAGTGGCCTCTCTAACAAAGACCATCATTATTCAATAGAACTTTCTGTGATGATGGACATGTTCTCTATCTGCACTGTCCAGTATGGTAACCAGTGGCCACATGTGTCTGTTGAGCACTTGAAATTGGCTTGTGCAATGGAGAAACTGAATTTTAAATTTTATTTAAATTTAATTACTTTAAATTTACATAGGTCATATGTGACTAGTGGTTACTGTACTATATTTTGTTTTTATTAGAAATTAAAATGCCCTCTCACAAAGAATTTTTAATCCTTTGGTATTCTATCACACAATATCATTTTTATATTTGCTTTAATATTTAAATTATCATTGTAGTAAATTTTTTATAACATTTCCCAAAGATAAGTGTTTTTAATACAGTTGATGGGAAGACATTATAATATATTGTTTTATAAGCTCAGACTAGCAACTTTTAAAATGGCCATTGTAAACAAGAATGTGTCTAAAAAGAAAAACACTTTAGTAAAAGTTCTAACTGTGGTGATAAATATTTTGAAAAGTTCACTTACAATTTCTGCAATACATCCTTGCAAATATTTCCCAAAATGTAACCAGCCTACACAAATGCTCACTGACCTTGATCCCCCAAAGTTGATTCTGCTCCCAAAGCACACATAAGGGTTTAAATCTGTTCTCAGGGCCTTTTCAGACATTTAGTGAAAATTGTTAAGCAAACAGTAGACATGGGAATGGCCAAACTGAATGGAATGAGCTGTGTTGCAAGGATGCTGTTGGAAGGACAGCAGTCAACATGCTCTATTAGACTTCTCACACACCTCGCCTTATTAAAAGAACAGGAAGAAGTAACAACCACATTTGTAGACCCAGTTTTTTGGTCTCCTTTGATATCTTTTGGTGTCTTAGATTAGGTAGTCAACCACTTGTATACTGTCAGGTTCAGAGAGAAGGTCTATCCTTGCTTAAAAGACAGTGTTCTGTGTGGAGAACACATGGTCCTCCGGTAAGGAAATCCGGCAAATCACAGTCTTCAGTGTCCTTGTAAAATATCGTCTCTGATCTCACTGTGTCTGAGAAATTGTTTTCATTCAGACTGTGACTGCTGAGTCCTTAACTACCACCTCAATTATGTATTTATTTGTGTGTTTTTAAGTTTATTTATCTAAATTTGTTATATGAAAATTCCAAACATATTTAAAAGTAGAGAGAACGGTATGAACTTGCATACAGTTACACCTACTTCAACAACTATTGTCTTGTAGGCAACTTTGTTTCATCATATCCCCTTACCACCTCTCACCTCATCCCAAATTATTTTGAAGCCAATCCCAGACATGACATCACTTCATCCTTTAATATTTCGGTAGGTATCTTTAAAAGATTAGGACTGTTTTTTAAAATTGAGAAAATGAGCCACATCTAAAAAATAAACCACACTGAAAAAGTCAGTATTTCTTATTGTTGTCAAATAGGTACAATCAATATTCACATTTTTCCAATTGCCTCAAAATTTTTTGTAATTACTTTTTACTGTTTGAAACAGAATACGTGTAAGATCCATACTTTGCAATTGGTTGATATTTCTCTTCTCTTTTAATCTATAGGTTTCCCCCTCAGTGTATTTATTTTTCCTTATTTTTTGAGAAAACTGGATTGTGCTTGTAGAGCTTTCCATAGTTTGTATTTGCTGATGCATTCCTGTGGAGTTGTTTAATAAGGTCCTCTGTCCCATGTCTATCCTATTAATTGGTAATTAAGACTAGGAACCTGACCAGATTCATTTGGAGAAGGCTGGGCAAAACTACTGGTTCTGTCTCTATTTGAGATGTTAGCAGGTATTGATCATTGCTTAGATCCATTTATTCCTTAGGGTTAGGAATACCCAGCCTCGTGTAGTTTCCTCACACATTTGCCCAGATCAATACTCTGCTAAACTCCCGCGTGGGACTCTTTGCAGATCTTAGGAGAACTTTCTCTGTGCAGCAGCTCTCTGCCATGGGCTCTGACCTGTGAACTGTAGCCACCCTGTTCTGCCATGCCTTCACTTCTGTTTCCTCAGCTCGGGGAGTTTGTGTCCCTTGAGTTACCCTCCCTGTGCCACTGCCAAGAAACCCTCAAGACAGTAAGCAGGACATTCGTAAGATTCACCTCCTTGGCTCTTCATCTCTCAGGGATAACTGTTCTTTGTTGCCTGATGTCCTGTGTCTTAAAAATCATTGTTTCATATAGTTTGTCAGAGTTTGGTGGTTGTTGTTGTTTTAAGAAGGAGGGTACATCCAGCCCCTCTTAATTCATCTTGGCCGGATAGGAAGTCTCTCCAATTGTTTCTTAAAAAGTTTAACCATAGCTTATTAATTCAAACACTATCTTCACATGAAGCTCAATACTTGAAACAAAGTGAAAAATGTTGGAATTGAAGTGTGTGTGTGTGTGTGTGTGTGTGTGTGTGTGTGTGTGTGTGTGTACTTTGGAACACTGCTAAAGTCTTTAAACTGTCTGTGCAACTTCCAGGACCTCTTCCTGATATTTTTCCTCCCAACCAATTACGTTTTTTCCACAAGATGAGCTCTGTTTTATTTCCTGCCATTTAGAGGCAATGTTGTGGTTCTTTCATTCATTCCTTCAGCAAGTATTTTGAGTACCTACTGTGTGTTCTATAAAGTGTTGGAGATACAGTGATGAATATGACACAACCTATCCCCTTAAAAATCTTGCCATTTATTTTCGCACTGAAACTTGTACATGAATGTTCATAACAACTGTATTAGTTAATAGCCCCAAACTGGAAATACCTAAATGAGCATAATGGATGAATGGTTAAACAGACAGTGATATATCCATAGTATGTAATACTACTTAGCAATAACTAGTAATCAACTATTGCTGTGGGCAACAACTTGGACAAACCTCAAGGAAATTGTGCTGCATGAAAAGAGTTTACCTTAAACAGATACATTATTGCTTGTTTCCATATATATAACATTCATAAAATAACATAATTACAGAGCTGGAGGACAGATTAGTGGTTGCCAGGGGTGAGAGGGGAGGGGAGGGAGTAGGTGTGGACATGAAAGGGTAGCACTGGGAGTCTGTGGTGATGGCACAGTTCAGTGTCCTGATTGTGGAGTGGTTACTCAAAGCTACAGATGTGATAAAGTTGCATGCAGCTGCACACATATACACACACATACAAATAAGCGCATGCATAACTGGTGATGTCTGAATAAGCTTTATGGATTGTACCAATGTTAATTACCTGGTTTTGCTATTGTAGTTATGCAAGATGTTAACACTGGGAGTGGGGAGAGGGACTGGGGAAAGGGTACACAGCACAGTCACAGGACATTTCTTTGCACCTTTTATGAATTTTTTATTATTTCAAAATCAAATGGTTTTTCTTAAAAATCTTGCAATTTCATGGAAGATACGAGGAACGAAATAGCCAGTTACAATACATTGTAATAATACTCAGTTAATGGAAAGTACTATGGGGTATGTGTATGGAGGAGTACCTTATTCCCAAGTCCAGAGGCAATGGTCTCTACTGCTCCTTTGTCTCCTACAACTTCCCAGTCAGGCCCTGCTTCTATTTGAGAGGCATGTATTAGTGGTAATGGACTTGCAGAAGGCTTGTGAGTAACCCTCCTCCACCCTTACCACACAGAGCGATGTGCCCTACTCGTTAAGGCCTCAGTAAAATATCGCCACCATACAAGGCAAACATTTTATAAGGATGAGCCTGTATACAGTAACAGGAGTCTCATGTTCTTACAACATGTTCAGATGTAAGTTCAAAGACCTATTCCAAATTTAAGTATCAATGAGTTTTGGATTACACACAGTTTTGGCTCATCTCAGGTCCTATCCTGCCATCAACCCCCGTCAGCCAGAGTTTTACTCTGACCTGTTTAGAAATAGCCCTTCTGTGTGTGAGGACGAACACAGAGCTGCAGTGGGTTTTGTACATACATTGTCACTTGTTACTGTAATGTATTTTAATTCAGTGACAGATTGTCACATATTTTGAGTATTCTTAAGTTATAAAAGTTTTTCCCCGTTGAAACTAAGTAGAATATATATATTGTTTCTGATATGTTGGGAGACATATTTTGGTTCTATTCATATTTAGTAGGAAGCACTAGAAAAGCCATTCAATGTGAATTCATACTCTTGTCACATTGTGACAACTCAGTTGTCTTCTTAGAATTTTATTAGGCTGTGTCTGTATTTCACAAATCCATGACTAGATGGGCTTACAATGTATAAACTGGAAATATATATATATATATATATATATATATTTTTTTTTTTTTTTTTTTTTTTTTTTTTTTTGCGGTACGTGGGCCTCTCACTGTTGTGGCCTCTCCCATTGTGGAGCACAGGCTCCGGATGCGCAGGCTCAGTGGCCATGGCTCATGGGCCCAGCCGCTCCACGGCATGTGGGATCTTCCCGGACTGGGGCACGAACCCGTGTCCACTGCATTGGCAGGCGGACTCTCAACCACTGTGCCACCAGCGAAACCCTGGAAATATTTTGATGTTATTTGTTGTTGTTCTTGTTGTTCCAGAAACTCACCCCTCCTCTCAGTGTGAGGAAGACCTCCTTGGAGTTGCCCTTGGACTAAGGAGGGTGTCTGAGTCTGTACCTGTGTGTGTTAGTGGAATATTCACTGGGTAGCAAACATCCGTAGACTTTTTAATCCAATCTGAGTCTCCCTGAAATAGAGTCTCAAGGTGTATGATTAGGCAGCTTTGTTTGTGTCATTTACCTTTATGAACATAGCAGCCAATATGAAGTTGCCTATGTCTACTTTGTGAAATTCATACTTAGCTCTATCTTTTGAACTCATTCTTCTTTTTTTAAAAAAATTGATGAATCGATGGGGTCTTGATCCATTTTTTTCAAATTTTGCTAAGATAGAAATAATATATTTTAGATTTAACAGAGAGTTTATTATTGATCAGATCCTGAGACTTTTTCTCATTTTTTTTGTGGTGTCCGGTTGTATACTACTTTTTATTTTGACATTTTATTAATTTTGATTTTCTGAAATAAAAACTTGTTATTTGTGTGCTAAATCCTTTAAAACCATTTATGAAAACAAACCAGACCATGTCAATGATACAGCTGACTCAGAATATTTCTTTCTTATTTTCTGGTAATTTGTACCAACTGGGTGGTCCTGATTTTTATATGACCATGATCTTTTCTGTATCCTATCCTATCTCTGTATATCTTAGAAAATTATTACTTATTTCTTATTCTTATTTTTTTAAATGTATTTATTATAAGGACTCTTAAGGTTACATAACATTCCACATGTTGTGTACTTTTCCTACAACCTTAAGATTGTACCATGTGAGTCTGGTTCTGTAGTACTGTTAAATAATATTACAAGCATTTTTCTTGGAGAGCTATAGGGATTAACAGGAAGCAGTGGCTTTTTCATAGATTTGGGAAGCTCTGAAATGGTTTTTTCTAGGTAGCCTAAATATCCTTGAAACATTAATTTTGGAATAAGAGTTGAATGAGCACCAGTGTAATTCCTCCACTTTATAAAGAGAGAGGCACTGCCACCATCTGACTTCCTTGCCCTGTGTGTACCTGAACAAAATTGAGCTGAATGTACTTATGCTCCCACCTGTAGCCAATCCTGTCAGTTCCTGGACCAAACCCAATGACAATAGGAAGCATATTTAGAGCCTCTGAGTTTTTCTCCCTCAGTGGGTACATCTGGTGGCCCAACTACAACTGCGAGGCTCACTGTTCGTTCTCAGCTCGAGTCTCTGTAGTCCACTGGATCTGGGAGGGCCTGACTCTGAGCCTAGCCCCAGGGGCCTGTGTGGCCTCACAGTCACAGAAATTATCCCCTTTTCTCTTTTTATGGGACTAGGTCTCTGCTAAGTCAACTTGGGTCTTTGGATGCTGTCTGTGTCTTTAGATCGCACTGTGGTGGCTTACGGAATGTGATCAGATCTGATAATGACCACTCCTTTCCTGATTTCTAGGTATTCAAGTAGTCACTCCTTCTCTGCCTGATTTGAGACCATGTTACCTACAGCTGCATGGGACTGCAGAACTCACTGTGCCCTTCGAATGTTATGCCTGTCTGTCTCACTGACCCTTGGGTTGGGTGACAGCCTTGGATGGGGCCCGTGCTGTATTTATGATCCCAAATGTGAGTACTGACCTGGTATTGCTAAAAATCCATTCTGCCTCACACCTGTAGCAGGGAGAAGGGCCACAGACATAGTGAGTCCCCGGAGAGTGGCCTCTCACTGATTACACCATAGTCAGAGGCTCACTCACTTTCTTATTTGCTATTTAATTCTTCCTAGTTCCAAAAAGCTTTTTCATAACTTTCAATAAGATGCATACAGTAAGGAGCAGAACGAAGCCAAGTAAGAAATAAGGGGTGGGATTAAACTGAACCAGAAATTCATGGCCTTCCTGCAAAGAGGCCTGAAGTTGAGTAACTTGAATTTTAGACTCCAGTGTTCTGCCAGTCAGAGAAAAAGGGAGATGTGAAAACCGATGCCACTCACTATCAGATCAGCGTGGGGCAGGAGATTCAGTACATCAAGAGAGATGCTCGTGTTTCCTAACTGTGCGTTTTGGGGAGGAATGTATTGAGTGGTTTGTTACATAAAATTTTTGTATCTGACCATCATATTAAAATGCCAGTGCATGTTGCTGAATCCTTTCTAGCATGAAACACTTCAAAAAATTCTTCTTCACAATGCCTTTAGACTAGCACAGTTCAATAACTTTCTAGTATCCACAGTAAAAAGTAAAAAGATACATGTGAGAGTAATTTAATGATATACACATTCCACTCAATATATCCAAAAATATTATCTCAACAGGTAATGAGTATAAAAATTATTGGCACATTTTCTTTTGTAACTAAGTCTTTGGAGTCCAGTGTTTATTTTTACCCTTACAGCACAACTCAGTTTGGACTAGTCACATTTCAAGTGCTCATAGCCACATGTGGGTGAGTGGGGTAGTGGTGGAAGAGGCAAGTCTTGTTTATTGTAATATCCTCGTGATAATTTCAGTCTTGAGGTTTCACAGCTACAGTTATCATCAGGAAACTTTAAAGGCAAATTCTTCTGCGTTCCTTGTACTGAGTGGTTGGTCATTAATCTAAAAGTTATCATTTTATGTCACCAAAACGAATTTGATGAGAAGAACAAATAGATTCAGTCATTATCAAGAAAGCAAATAACTTGCTCTGAAAACTTATGGACCCTTACTTTCAATCCTTGTCATTAGTGAATGTACTATAATTTACATTATCTGGGAGATTCTCTTGATCTCTTTTTATGCCACCTGTTTCCTTAAGACTTCCATGATTTCACCAGCTTTCTCTTCTAGGGTTCCAGTGAGAATTCGTTTGTATTTTTTCAAAGATATTCATGACTTTTTGCTTGACATTCAGTTACCGGTTCATTTCTTTGATAGCCCCTTGTTGAGAACTGAGACTTGTTGGCTGTCCTCCTCCCCTTCAATGCCTTGCATGGAGTAAAGTGTAGTCGGTAGTGCTTGTTGAATGAACACGTATGTGTCTTCTCCTCTGATTTATGGTCTGGAAAACAGGGGCATGTTTTGACTCCTTTGGCATATTTGTAGCATAGTGTGGGGAATGTACTTGATGCTTAATGAATTCTTGCTGACTGGACCCAGGACTTATAATTGGCCTTCCTAGTCTTGGTCCAAAACTGTATCCATCAAACTGTTAAATTACATCCCTGAAAAGACAGTCACTGTTTTCATTTGGAGGAAGAAGTACAAAAACACATCACCAACCTTTGTTGCTGGTTCCTAACTGACTCTATGAAAAAAGGAAAGAATTCATGGAGAAAGTGACACTAACTTTAGTGAAATGCCAATAAAGTACAATATACAATTTTTGCCAGAAGGAAAAGTAGGACTATTTTCCTAGGTCCCAAACACTATGATGAAAGAATCTAGTCTGTGCATATTTGAATCATTCATTCTTCCATCCAATAAATACCGAACACCTGTTATAATTAAGACATTGTGTTAGGCACAGGGGATAAAAAAAATGAAGCATTTTGACCCTCAGGTTGCTCACATTTTAGTTGGAAAGCCAGAGCATGACAAAGACCTTGTTAAACCATTTGTAAGTTTAGAGCAAGCTAGCAACTAATGGGAAGAAGATCCAGTAAATCTAATTTTCACTCTGTTTTTCCTTCAGTGGTGTTGGCTAATAAGTATTTTTAGAATAAATGTGTATATAGTGGTTTGTTTTCAAAGACGTTACATTATTGGGCATTTATTACATTTTATTTATTTCTTTGATGGATTAATTGCAGTTAAATTACCTTAGCATGCTAGATCAGATTTTACAGATTTTGACATATGATTAACTAGCATAAGGCATAACTAATATGGTTTTAGTGGCATGCTATGTATTAAAGCATAACATTTAAACACACACTTCATCAGGGATTTTTGCAGTTACGGTGAATTAGAAAGATTTAGATATCGGAACTCTCCCCACTGCTGCCTGCCTTAAGGGAGGGGCAGGAATTTTATAATTGAGATTATTATAGAAGAGTGTCCTGACATAATTGATTGACTTTAGTGATGTGCCCTGAAAGTTCAAATTCAAGGTGTGCGCTTATTTCAGTCAGCTTATTCTGAATGTTTAAATAAGAAATACTATTTCTGGGTATTCTGAACAACTCGCTGTACATTTATTCCTAATAGTGAGCATTTGGACTAATGATGGATTACTGATGAGCATGTAAATGTACCACCTGATTACATTAATATATGATCTTCCATGACGAGGTCTGAAATGAACATTTCTAGTGTGTATTTCTTTTCCCCAAATGGCACTGTGGTGTATACTGAGCAGGACCGAGACAAGGGTGTTTTTCTTAAGAGCCACTGATTTAGTCAATTATCAGAAATCACATTATAATAAATGCTGTTCTAAGATTTTTGATTAACCTTTAAATAAATGTTACTTTGGAAAAAAAAATCTGCCAAATGTGTTAATGATAAATTGTGAAGTGGTAGTAATTGCAAGTATGGCTTCATAGATAACATAGTTAATTGATACCACCCTCTCAAACATATATAGCACATCAGCTGCTATGAGGCTGCATGAATGATAGTAATGGTGTCTGTGGCATTTTTGATGTATTGAGGATGATATGAGCAAAATGGAAACTTAGAGTGCTCACCAGGGTCATTCTCTCATGGACATCTGATGCCCATGGTCAGGTAAATTTTTAATGACGCATAGTCACTACACACCTTTCAGCCTTCTGAAGAGGTAAGTGTACATTGATCTGTGCTAATTAGCCTTGCAGAGTACTTCATACATCCTTGCATGAACACCATTATTTAATAAGAATGGGAGCTGTTTTTTTCACAAGCTCAGCACTTGCTCCTTGGATGGCTGTACTGTTGCTGTTTTTCTTTTTTTTTCACTCAAGTCTCATGTTCATTCTTGTGTTTGTCTCGCTCTGTAGTATCCATGCAGCTGCATAAAAAAGTAAGCAAAAATTAAGGAGTGGGTCTGATTATGAAGGTTCATTGTTATTATAAGAAACCCATAAAGCACACATCCATTCCTTTCCTTACATATAGGGTGCTGACTGCATAAAATTGCTTGGAAAGACATTAAGGATATACAAGCACTTCTGTTGAGGTGTACAGTGGGATGCTTTTATGTTTGGCAGTAAAGGTGGCTCTGGAATATCTGATTTGCCAAATAAAAGGTAGCCAAAACAATTTGTAATTGTTCTAGGTTGGAACATTAGGGACATCTACTTTTTTTTTGAGTTTACTTTTCATCTGAGTTTGGGGTCTGTAACCAAGAATCCTGAGTTTGCTCAGTGTTGGGGTAAAGCAAGTATTGTTTATAATTACCTGATAGGACTTGGAGGTAGGGGAATTTCTAGTATAGATGCTTCTTATTATCATGGTGTTATTCAGTTCCAAATGCGATACAGACCAGATGGTGTTAAATCCCATCGCAGGGATAAAGTCTACAGTCAGAACTTCTTAGAGGCACGAATATCACTTGGTGGATGTGGTACACTGGTTACTGGATTATTTTGTTCTTAAGAAAATGGAACAAGAGTAGGTTCCTGTCGAGCTGTAGGGCTGGCCATTGATGACAATATTTGGAGTTGCCCTTGTCTGCAAGGAAATCAGGCATCTCTTCCTGTTGTTTCGTGACCACAGAGTTGGCTATCAGGCTCCACAAATGCCTCCTTTACTTGTTTGCTGATATCTGAGGTTGCACAGAGATTAAAATTTTTGGATTTTGCAGATATCCCTAGAAATGATAACACTTGGTTTAAGTCAGATCCATAGAACTCAGTGTGAGTGAGCTTACCAGCTTTTTCTGGGGAGCAGGTTTTGAAAGTGGGGTGGCTAAAGAATATGAGGACCCTGGGTAACAAGGGTGTAAGAGGAACTGTCTTGTGAGCATAGTAGGGGCGACATAAACGGCTATGAGTGAGGAGGATTAGAACGGCAGAGGACAAGATTTTCTTTCTTTACCGTATAGGAAACCTCTGCAAGCATCATACTTTCTAATTACAGTGTTTTATTTTGTTTGTTTTTAATTAATTAATTTATTTTTGGCTGCGTTGGGTCTTCGTTGCTGCGTGGCGGGCTTTCTCTAGTTGCAGCAAGCGGGGGCTACTCTTCATTGTGGTGCGCGGGCTTCTCATTGCGGTGGCTTCTCTTGTTGCCGAGCACGGGCTTTAGGCGCACGGGCTTCAGGCGCACGGGCTTCAGTAGTTGTGGCTCGCGGGCTCTAGAGCGCAGGCTCAGTGGTTGTAGCGCACGGGCTTAGTTGCTCCGCGGCATGTGGGATCTTCCCGGACCAGGGCTTGAACCCGTGTCCCTTGCATTGGCAGGTGGATTCTTAACCACTGCGCCACCAGGGAAGTCCCTCTAATTACAGTTTTAAAACACTTAAAAATTCTGGTTGAAAACTGAATTTGTTTTCAGTTTTCTTAGGTACAAAATTTTTGACTTCATTGCTGTCAGCTGTTTTCTTTGAATCACCTAGTTCATTTATTTAAGAAGGATTTATTGAACAATTGCTATGGGCAAAATAGTATGTTGGATGCTAAGGAAAAAAGACATGATTCTCATCTATGGTGTTTCCGTCAGT